AACGCGTACTTAACCTTGTAAAGAAGTTACCCTCAAAGGTCTGCATGCTGCCCCTGTGGGTTTCCAACACTGTCAGTCTTCACCAGAGCAGAAAGGCTCATCCTTCTCCTGCGGTGCAGCTTGGTGGATTCAAACTGTTGACCTTGCAGATAGCAGCTCAATACATAACCCATTATGCTACCAAGGCTGTCACTTCTGTGAATTTGTAAAGAAAAGTAACCGCAGACCCTCCCTGTGTTTTCCCCTTCCTTTACAGAAAACCTGTGGCAACTAACTCTAGTTCATACTGCACCCTGGTGGTATGGTGTGCTATGAGTTGAGTTAATAAACACAAGGCCAGAAGTTCAAACCCACCAGCTGCTACTCAGAAGCAAGATGAGGCTTTCTGCTCCTGTAAAGACTTACAGCCTCAAAAAGCCTACATAGGTTACTATGGGTCTGAATTAACTCACTGCCAGTGGGCAGTTGGGAGACACAAAGTAGAATGTTGAGCATCCAAATGCATAAAGCTGGGGAAATGTGGACAATGGTTGTTAAAACAGTAATTATAACAAACGTAAGACCTCATGGAGGCCAAAAAGTTCAAATTAATGTATTCGCCCAGAAATACGTGTAATAGGAGAGCTGAATAATTAAACTAAAATGATAAAAATTTGTGTTGTTTGGAAACTGATGAAAGTGTTGATTACTTTTAGACTTTGTTGAATATTATAGGCAGGTTAAAATTTTAACTGTAACCATATAAAAAATATCAAGAGAATGACTTCTCTTCAAGTCTATAAGGGATCAAAATTGACTTTAAAAAGAAGATCTTGAACAACTCTAAATATAGCATAAAGGGAACCAGGCATGGGAGAAATGTAATATAATAGAACAAAAGGAGAAGTCAAGCTAAGTCCACACTTAGCAGTCTACCTCAGACGGCTAAGTGGAATGAAGGCATCACTTAAAATATATAGAAAGATTGTCAAAGTGAAATTTCAGAATCCATCAAAACATGCTCTACAAGGTTCCTCAGCATGAGCCCAGGAACACAAATAGGATACAGCGTAAAGGACAGAGAATCAGTATATGATGTGACTCCTAAACATAATGGCGATCCCTGGTGGCACAGCGTTTAAGCACTCAATTGCGATCCAAAAATCAGCAGTTCCAACCCACCAGGTGCTCCACGGAAGAGAGAGGTGGCAGTCTGCTTCGATGAAGATGTACAGCTTTGGCAAGACTACTGGACGGTTCTCCAAAGCAATGTGTTTATTTGGCTTTTGCTTTTGAAGAAAAAAAGCTGGTATACCAGGTGAGTCAAAAAAGTATTGCTATGTGGGCTCCCGCGCACACGTGCAGGGTTTCTTCCAAACAAAGGTATTGAAACGCGTCTCTGTGAACAGTGGTTGGCTGGCAGTGGTCAACACACTTGGCTTAGTCTTGTTAGGGTAACTTCAAATCGAAAAGGCCCTATCAAAATAGTGGCTTCTTAAAGGATCTGTTGGGCCAGTGAAACTCAAGACAGAGACTTGAACTCAAGTTATGGCAAAAGTTTTTTTAGACCTCAAAGAGATATTTTCCCAAAGAATCCAGGGTGACCATGAGTGTTTATTAGGAGCAAGTTTTAAGAAAATTGAAAACGGCATTGGTGAGAAGAAGTCAGAAAGGCTGGGCAAAGGAATTTCCCCCATCACCACCATTCACCCGCTCATTCTTCAGGTAGCAAGATTTGTTCTACAAGAATGTCACCCCAGAGTCCTGGTCTTGTCCCTTCAGCCTTCCTTTTCTTCCCAAGACTCTACGAACATTTCAAAGGAACACAATTTAAGTCCCTTGGCAAGAGGGAAGGATTCTTCAGGGAAGAGCTGGAGAGGTGGGAAGGAAAGGCCATCTATATGCCATGGATAGTTCAGATGGAGGCGACGTCAAGAAACAAGAGCTTCCCCTGTGACAACGTCATTCAGTGAAGGGTCTATGATTTTTGGTAGCAATACTTTTGGACTTACCTTTGTACTCTTGGAGGAAATAGCAGAATTACTCAGGATTAAAAGTCATTGCAAACTAAAATTTCAAAATTACTAGAAAACTATAGCGATTACTACTTGGTATGTACCTACTCTTAAAGCACTCAAAGTAAACATCACCACGGTCACAATGAAAAAGTCACACAGCAGAGAAATTAAAAAGCACATTTTCAAGGGCACACAAAATGGACTTTAAATGTTGGTCACATTTAAGCAAAGAAGTAAGTCACCATAGATTTCAAAAACTCTTCTAATGTACCTTGATTTTTTCAGATAACAATCACAAATAAATATCTTTTTTTTAATTCCCATATGTTTACAAAGTAAGTGACATATTTCTAAGTATAGCTAGTCCCCAGGTTATAAATACCCAGCTTACGTACAACTCATAGTTCCAAACCCTGTACATTAAACCCATCAACTCAATTCCATTAAAAATTGAAGTTGCAGACAATGGTTCATAATCACAAATGGTTGTCACTTGATCATTCCCGTCACTGTGTGCTATGTTAAAGATGCTGTAGTGGATCTGGAAGTGTTTCTTTGGTTTTTTTATGCATAGAAAGGTGCACTATACACTAGGACAAATCTTTAACTAGCTGATGTTTGATATGAACTGCACCTCACTGTTTTGACCCAGGTACAAATTTAACTGAAGACAAGTTTAGGAATGGAACTCACTCATAATCTGGAAACCGTCAGTGATTCATAGATGAGAGAGGAAATACTCATTGAAATTAAAAAATTGTTTGGGAAAAACTTGCTTATCAATTTTGTGTGATACAGCTTGTTGCAAAAGTATAGTCATGGTAAACTATGTGTTAGCTTTAATGAATGAAGACATAACTATTTTGTCCCAAATAAAAAGTTGTGTATACTAAATGTTCTCTAAAAGCAGGCACAAAGTATAAGGCAATAGACTTATCGATACAAAATATTTATAACAATATAATTTTAAAGTATTTAAAGTCCAAAGTAAGAGATTATATTTCTTTGTATACACACAGAGAAAAAAGACTAGAAATACAGAATGGAGACAGAAAACAGAAACAGACAAAAAAGCCATGAAAAATATGGAAAAAATCCCAGCCTCACTAGTAATCATCAAAATGTAAACGAATTAGAGAACTTTGGGAACACTTTTGAACTAATGAAGATTCTAATGTTGGAAAGAATAAATGAAGATAAGCACTGTTGTGCCTACTAGTTAAAGGTATACATTATTGGAAAATGTTCAGTCCATTAGCTGGCGCTAATAAAACTACAAATTTTGTATATCTTTTAACCCTGCAACTTCATGCTTAGAAATATGTTTGTTGTAGTCAAAATTTGAAAGCACCCAGATGCTCATCAATAGAGAAAGAGCTAATAAATCATGATCCCCTAACCAGAGGTCAGCAAACGTATGAGACAGTAGAGCCAATCACATCTCTCACAATTTAAAAAATATTCAAGAGCCACAAGTATTCTTTTATGAACAAATGAAATCACCATTATCGGAATAATATTCTATTAAAATTTTATAAATAAAACAATGATAGTTTTATTTTCCATTTTACTTCAGAGTTACATGTGCATCCTGAAAGAGCTGCGCATTGGCTCGCAAGCCAGTTTGTGGACCACTAGTCTGTTCTATAGAACACTCTCTGGCTGTGAAAAGGAATGAAGTAGGCAAGCAATACTAGCTAACACTAAGTGGTCGGCAGTATTCTAAGTATTTTATATCCATCAATGACGCATTTAACCCCACAAATGAAGTCAGTCTACGAAGTCAATCCTGTTACCCACATTTTACAGATGAGATAATAGAGGCATAGATATTGTATTATTAGTATAAGGTCACCCAGGTTTCAAAGTAACCAAACCAGAAACACTGCCATCAAGTCAGATCTGACGCACAGCGACCCTATCGGACAGGGTAGAAGTGCCCCCTGGGTTTCCGAGACTGTAGCTCTTTATGGAAGAAGAAACCCTCCTCTTTTTCCCGGGGAGCAGCGGGTGATTTCAAACTGCTGACTTTGAGGTCAGTAGGCCAACTCATAACCCCTACAGCACCAGGGCTCTTCAGAGTGATGAAGGCATCTTTGAATTTAAGCAGGCAAATGGGGGAGCTCACACCATTTACCATGAGCCTATCCCGTTTCCTATAGATGGTGATATTGGGAGATTTCAAAGTGGAAATGCTAAATGCACAGCACAAGGAACGTAATCCACAATCTGTACACAATGGCTGTGTATGTTCATCAAACGGTGGCTGACAGTCCTCACCAAAGTGTTGACAGCACAGCCCCCCAGTAAGCTCAACAAAGCGGCATCTGACCTTCTGGAACCGATGGTCTCGTCCCATTTCCTTTGTCCACAACCTTGACTCTGGGCTTGGTGTCCTTTCTTTTTTCTAAATCTTTAACTGGAAGAAAAAGAGAAACAGCATTGTGTTGCATTAAAGTCTAAGAGAAAATACTCAACGAGTTTTAGTGAAACCCTTACAGTATTAAGTAGAAATTGCCTAGACCACAGAACTTCTTTTCCAAAGACTAGAACTGCTATTTTGTTTTTGTTCTCTTTGGCTTTTAACCAGTTATCATCTTGAGGCGGTATGGAGCGCACGTAAAGATTGTTTTTGATTGTCACTAGGGGCAGATGCATTGTGTAGATTTAATCCTCACGATTGCTGCAAATCGCATGGTCCTCCCCACTACACACATGAGGGAACTGAGACCTTGAGGCTAAGGAACTGACGCCTCGCCCACAAAACCAGCCAGGGCAAAACAAAAAAACAAAAAAACCCAGCCAGGGCTGGCACAGGCTTCAAGCCACATCTTTGAACTGCACGGACCTAGCCCATAAGGTTGGTTCCTTTTGTAGAAAGATCTTAGCTAGAATGTCCTCTTCGGAACTCCCTACATCTGTGATACAACGTGGAGAACATCATCCAGATGCCCTCCTCACGCAAGGGACAAACTCAGAGAACAGATTGTCGTGAACCAAGTGGTATTCAACACAAGAAGAGGTACTATGTTATATTATGTGCTGAATTCATCTGCAAAATAACACTATCTCTCATCACCCATATTTGCAGATGAGGAGGAAATAGAGGCTAGAAGTCGATGGATTGGCTGGCCCAAAGAGATGCATAATGGCAGCTCTGGAATCAAATCCCAGCAAGTCAGACATGACTTCCTCTCTTCAAAATACACAGGCTGTTTCTCTTGCTTTCCTGTGTATCAGAAGACAGACACATGAAGAATCCAAATCTGCATACCAATTGCAAACTTCTATGCAAGAGGAAGTGCCTGGACCACCATTGTCCTGGATGCAACCACATTGTTTCCCAGGGAGGAGAGACCAGGGTCTGGCTTTATCTCCCAGGGAGCAAATGTGTAACTGAAGAAGGAAGCCATCCAGACAGAGCGATCTTCTTTTCATTTGAAAAAAGCCATCTACCCTGCCAGTAAAAACAAGCTATAGCTTAAGAAAAAAGAGTAATAATAATTGATTGAACTAACCAGTCAGGCGGTTTTACTGTAATTATTTCAGCAAAGTTAAACAAGCAGAAAATAACTGTGCTGCTGTTGTTTGGTTGGTTTCTAAGTACTTTAAGTAAGTGGCCACTGGTAAGCTCTGTACGGCTGGTGGGTTTCCTTACAGAGCCTAGTCGGTGAACCCTTGGACAGAATCAATCGATACCTTCAGACTGAAGTAACATTCATCATGACCCTTCTACTGCATCGCACAAACTTTTTTTCAAAAGTTAACTTCCTCCGCTCTTGTAGGAGTAGGGGAGGTCTGAAACTAAAGTTCAGGACAATGGAATGAAGCAGACGGCGGGTTTATACTGAGAATAGCAAACAAACCCTTCTCATACTGTATGAGACTGAAAAAATATCTAACTTTGAAATATCTGTACATCTGCAGACAGGTGGAGTTATCCCATGTCTTTGTTCAGCAGTTCTGAGCACAGCAAGGTCAACAAACGTTTTAAATGTGAAAAGGTCATAAAATTTGTCTCATACAACATGACTCAAGAAAGGAAGGAAAAATGGATTGGGGTGGGGGTGGGGGTGGCTTCATCTCCATGGCAGGCTTTTAAAAGCTGGTGCTTCAAATAAGCAAGCGTCTATGTGAAACGACGTCCAGAACTTTTTCCTTCAAAATTAGCTACAAGGAAGACATAGGGGTGTTCATGACAGCAGATGGCTCATGGGTGTGAATGGCCGACGCTGGCTGAGGGGTCCATGGGATGGGGTCCCTCCTACTGGTCGTGTTTTATTCTATTTATATTGCCCATGACCATGAATGGTTTTGCTTTCCAAGGAGTAGCAGAACAATGATGAACAAGGGGCAGGACTGGCATTCAGGTTTGCATTACCATACGCAAAACTCCACCCTCCATCTGGGGTCACAGCGAAAGGGCTGTGACCTCTGTGGTTCAAGGTCCTGTGCACTGTGCCTAGAACAGGGCCTGGCCTGAGGCGACGTGTCTCTTAAGACGTCTTCCAATCTAGAGAACCTACCAGTTAGCCCCGGAAGCTACAGACCACAGACTCAAGCTCAACACTGGGACAGGCCCTACTGTGGCCCCCGACGACCCGGAATACATACTTCTGAATTGGCCTTGGGCCGGTTTGCTCTCTCTGTCTTTCGTGTACACAATAAGTTGAACTGTGTAATTCTGGTCTGGCATGAGACCTTGAATAATTGCTTTCGTTGCAGTGTGCTGGAGATTCAATTGGCTGGTTTTTCCACCTTTTAAAAACACAAAACAGAAAAAGAAATCGTGAATTCCACGAGATGAGGTCTTTACCTGTGTACAGTGCAAACAACTTTGGAGCCACAATCAAGATGTTGAAAGAGGCAAACACTTAAAAACACATATTAATCATAACCGCATGCAGAGCACTTCCTTGTAAGGTCGTCTTCATTCCCTTTTTCCCTGTACTCTTTGAGTTAGACACCTTCGATCAGCGGTTCTCAACCTGTGGGTCTCGACCCCTCTGGGGGTCAAGTGACCCTTTCCCAAGGATCACCCAATTCATAACAGTAGTAAAATTACAGTTATTAAGTAGCAACAAAAATAATTTTATGAAAAAAATAATTTTATGGTTGGGGGGTCACCACAACATAAGGAACTGTATTAAAGGCTCATGGCATTAGGAAGGTTGAGAACCACTGCCTTAGATGGTTGTCTCAATGAGCTCAAACACATGGGGGAAGATCATCCTAGCCTGCTGCGTTGTATGGACCAGGAAGCGCTAGAGAAGAGGGGGAGACATGGGGCTAACTCCCCATATCAGAGACAAGGGAAGAATTCCCCAGAGAAGGGAAGGGAACGAAGGGATCAAGGGCAGGTTGTCCTCAGGCTTGTCTGAAGATCCTCTGAGTATCCATGAATTCTGGGTAACTGAAATCTGACTGCTAGGGCTTCGAAAGCTGGAAGCATCCTCATTGCCTGGCTACCTTATAAGTTTATGGGAAGGTTTCAACGCCAGTCTGTCTCCATCACAAGGCTTTCCTGGAGACTCCTGATTCCACATCCCACCTTATCTGCCAACATAACAGCTGGCAGCCATTTCTGAGTCTGAGAAAGGGGAAATTCATGTGCGGACTTCTGCCCCTCCGGTGGGAATGGTGAAAGCAGTCAGATCTTTGCTGAATTCATCAACTGGAACACAAAGGTCACAATGCCCCTGAATCAGCCTCTGATAAAACAACGGCTCCGAGTCGGCCAACATCCATTGCTGCCAGCTACGACAGGGCAAAAAGCAAGCCCAAGCCTGTTTCCTGAAGTGTGTTGGTGGCCAAGATATGAAATCTGGCTTCATGAACTTCTATCACTTAAAACTCACCTACTGTAGAGTGCATCGAATAAAACTTCTATGATCTGCCATTTCTAGAGTGAGTTTCCATAAGGGGGAAAAAACGTTCCTTGGAAAAGTTGGACGTGAGAACGCCTCTTGGGGAAACACAGAGCATATTATACTGGAAGCCTTGAGACTCCTGCAATGAAACAGCTCTCAACTCTCTGTAAATCGGCATGTCTCTGATTTATCTGAGCAGTCAGCCCTGTGGCTGTGTAATAGCTATTAGCGTCCTGCCAAATGCCGTGGAATAAACAGTGCTCAAGACAGCATTAAATGTCCCTGAAGACTGTGTGGCTAATTAACTGCCCTATAGACATGACCTGAGTCTGTTCTGGGTGCAAATAATTCTTCCTGGTTCCATGACAGAAATTTCTTCCCTGGCTTTTTGAATGTTGATGGGAGTTTTTTTCTCCTTATGCTTTTTTGGTATTTTTGTCTTTGTACTGTTATGATTTTATCCTTACCAAGCTTAGTCCAATTTTGTTTTTCATTGTTTTCTTTTGGGTCTCCCAGCTGTGAAGCACAGGAGGAGTGGATGCATAATGATAATAACTGATACAAGGGGATTTAGGGAATGTATGGGTGGGGGGGGTGATAGGGTGGGAAAGGGGATTTGGGGAGTAAATAATGAAGGTGGGAGAGGGGGGTGGATCATCAGAAAGAATTGTGATTGCATAATGCATTTTAAAGGAGATGTAACCACAGGGGGTGGGGGATGCTCTAAAATTGATGGGGTAATGATTGTACAATTCTCCTGGTTAAGATTGAACACTTGGACTATTGAATTGTAGGATATGTAAACTACATGCCAATAAAGCTGTTGGGGGGAAAAGAAGAATGTGTACCTAGATGTATGTATCCCTCTTTTTGATTTATGATTATGGATCAGATAGGAACCCGAGGGTCGAGGGTATCTGCTCTGAGTTAACGAACAAGAACATACAGACAAGAACTCATCTAGAAAGGATCTGCTTTCATCCCAACTACTCTCTGATGTTTAAGGGGAGCTTTTTTCATGCACTGTTGCAAAGGGGATTCAAGGAAGGGGTTCAAACTCTGTTCGGTGGCCTCTCGAGTCATTAACATTCCACAAATCCTCAGTGACCCTGATTGGAGGGTGTAAGAGTTTTGATGCTATTAGCAGTTAGTCAGAAACTGTTAGACTACTGGCCAGATAGTGGGAAAATGTTACCTACAAAATCGGACCTGCAAGGTTTACAGAGACACCACAAATTAGTAAATTGTATTTTGACCTTCAGAGTAATGCTGCAATCCAAGAAACGCTTAGATTTAAATTGCTGGTGGTGGTTTATTTTATAAATCAAATTGTATCTTGAAAAGTCAAAGTTAAGCCAAGATAGATAACCCTTCAGAAAGAGTAATGGGAGTAATAATTCCCTAAGGGTAGGGAGGGTGGGGGAGGGGAGCTGATAGCAATGATGATTGTATAACCCCACTTGAGGGGACCGGATAACAGAATTGTAGGCGAATGGACACTTGGATGGAGTAAGATATGACAATAATAATAATATGATATAATTTAATAAAGAGGGTTTCTAAGGGGGTAGGGTCGTGGAGGGAGAGTATAAAGAAGAGCTGATACCAAAGAGTTCAAGTAGAAAAAACATGTTTTAAAACCGATGATGGCAGCAATTGTACAACTGTGCTTGGTTTAATTGAATGATGGATTGTTATCATATATGTAAGCGCTCCTAACAAAGTGATTTTCTTTTTTTAAAAAGTCAAAGTTGTTTCCAAATGGGACCATCCTCCAAAAGGAATCATTTGGACCAAACTTGCATGGAAAACGTTACTTTCCACAAAGGGGCCATTTCTGTCAGGTAATGTACCGGAGGAATCAGCACCTGGTATTATTCAACCAGAAGTCATCTGACAGTGCCCGTGGGTAATAGCTGTAATACAGAAGGTGAGTGTTCCTTTCGACTAACTGAGCAGTCAGCCAGGTTTGCATTTTGTTTGAGTCTAAAACCCACAGCTGCATACGAGAGCCACATTCGCAGACAACGGAGCAAGCATCGCCCTCATTCAGTGAGCTGGGTGGGGAAAGTTCTCCAAGAGAAGCAAGTCCAACTCCATATAACAATAATTATTCTGTATCTACAATGACATCTGCACAAATCAAGGCAGTCGCTGGGTTATGAACATCTGGCTTATGGATAACTCTGACTCGCCCTCACTTAGAAATGATGGAACCTTCCCTAGTCACAAGAAATTCTTCATCATAATGACCTTACCTTGAAGCTTTTAAGTCACTGGAAAGGCTTCAAGCATTTTCTTACACCAAGAAATGTTAAATAAAAACTGTATACACTTGTTCAGACTCACACACAAGTTCCACTCAAAGGCTTAAAGACAGTTAGGAATGAATCTCCTTTATAACCCAAGGACTGCCTATACGCTATTACTAAATACTTACCATGCATGTGTGCACATGGATCCTTGAAGAAGGTGGACCGAGAGACGTGCTAGAGAACATCCCTGTAACGGTCACAGGTAAGGTCTCCTGAACACGCACTCTTTGGGAGTCAGAGTTCTCATTTGAGTTTGAATTCATGTCTAAACCACCAGGGCTCCTCAGACGTCATGCCTGTGCATATGAACCAGCTGGGAGCCTCGTAAACTTCAGCAGGTCTAGGATGCAGCCAGGAGAAATCCTTCATCTAAGGGGAGCACTGCTGCTGGTCCACAGACCACACTTTGAGTTGCCATCCTTACAACAACGCCACGAGGAGGACACTGCTGTCCCCCCACATTACAAAGGAGAAGTCTGAGATGGCAAGAGATGAAAGAGTTCAACCCAAGGCACACTGTTAGCAAGAGACAGACTCAATTTTAACCCCATCAGCGCACTCGTTGAGCTCATCTCCAAGACACCAAGGCAGCAGTGGTGATGCTCTACATAATCTGTATTGCTGTAGTCAATTATGTTTGTATATATATTTTTAATGCGAAAAAACTGAACCCATTTAATTTTTAATGAAATGAAAAGACAATGGGATTCTTCCGTTAATTGTTCACGCCTCCTCACACAGTTGTCATGAACTCTGTGTGAAAAGTTGCTGATGTCATAGAAAACGTAACACATTGCTTTTACCTGAAGCTGGAGTCACGAGAAGTTTGTATCCATTAAACTTCCCTTTGGGAGCCTTCCAGGAAATCTGTATACTGTCATGCGACAACACATTATATCTTAATCTGGTGGGTGGAGCCACTGGGGGGAAAAAACATATTTTTAAAAATATATTTTAAAAGGGTGAGATATCAATGTTTCCATTTGTTAAATTGAAAAACGCACAAGACCTTGCCAGTCTCAAATGCCTTCTTACTCTAGCCCAGCGGTTCCCAACCTGTGGGTCATGCCCCTGTGGGCGTCAAATGACCGATTCATAACAGTAGCAAAATTACAGCGATGAAGCAGCAACGAAAATAATTTTATGGTTTGGGGGGGGGGTCACCACAACCTGAGGAACTGTATTAAAGGTTGAGAACCTTTAGGAAGGTTGCGAACCACTGCAAACCCCATTAGTAAACTGAGAGGGCTACAAACTTACACCAACCTGAGAGCATTTGTCTCCGGTCCAAGGAGCATTCATTTATTAAACACTCCTGCCCTGTGACAAGGAACTCAGATGTAATGTTAGAATTTAATATGCTAGTTGAGTTTAACGAATGGCGCCAATCTTGTAAAACCCTGCATTATGTTTCCAAGATTATCCCTTTTTTTTTAATTGGAATGTGTGAACTTTTATAATCTCCTGGGGCCTGTTTCCCACTGTTAGGGTTCTCAGTTTTGGCAGCCTATCATCATTTGATGGTATGATATTTGAGGAGGCTCTCATAAACATAGTATAGTAATTGGATCACCATTTACAAACATTTACAACAGGGGCTGTCAAGGCCTTCAGGACCACATAGAATACCACTATGCTTTTATAAACATTGCTGATCTGTTCTTCAAGTCTAGATAACTTACACCTGGAAAACACAACTACAGACAGCACACAATCTATATGAATCATCTCAGAACAAGCCATCTCTTCTGACAGTTCACACAACAGGTCGCTCTGTATGACTGCTTGTGTACATCACACTCCTCAAAGCGCATTTCAGCAACCCTGTGCACCTCTTCCAAGTTGTCAAAGAAATTACATTTAAAAGATGCCTATCAGATAATATCTAACTTCGTTTGTCAAAAAGGAAGCATCAACACTTATGAACAGAACACATAGCACTTACTAACCCTTCCCTGTCCCCGGCCTTTCGTTCTTGCTGTAGGAAGCCATGTGAGGGAAGTGCACAGCCTGCCTCAAACGGACACGCTGCTTAAATGGGGCCTGGACATGAGCCTGAATCCCAGCTCTGCTACATGTTAGCTGAGTGTTCCTGAGCAACGTTTCCCCGACTCCCTTCAGTCCACATGTTCTAAGTACTTTCTGCATCGAATAGGTGACAACTTTACATAGGAAAATGGATGCAGCCCAAGATAAAGGTGCCAATAAATGCGTCCTTCCTTCAGTCAAATGTTGGTCTCAGAAGTTGCCTGAATCCCCACATCAATCATTATCCTCTTCCATTCCAATAAGGGAGCCAAGGGAAAGCTAAGGGACTTGACCAAGGTCACACTCTGGAAAGAAATACAGGTTCAAAGCTCTCCAACCCCCCAAGGAAATGCTCTGGTTCTTTATGAGAAGATCCATGTTGAACATGATGATTTCATTCTTCCACAAATTTCCACAGATCTCTGAAATCAGGTAGGTATTCAAGACACCATCTGAAGAATAGTATTTTCCTTTGGTCATCCTTTATTTCCATGCTAGCCTTGCAAAACAAAAACGCAGGCTTCCCACACTCCGTGGGACATGAGTACAAGTGTTTGCATTGTTCTGGTTAGCGGTTAAAATATAGGATTGTCGTTAGAAGTGCTATTTTTCCACAAGGCAGGGACAGTGGCTAAAGCTAACATTTGGATGAGATGAGAACCTACAGTTAGTTACTATCTGCTCCCTCCGAAATTCAGAGAGAACATCGATTTCTAGATAATGCCTCATTACATAGAGCAGTGAAGTACGATAATGAAAATATTTTTAAAAAACAAATCCAAGTTTCGGAGCCAAGTAAGGGCATGGGCTGGTGTGCATCGCTGGTCAAGCGTAGTGTGGTTGTGCATGAATGTGGTGAAAGGAAGCTGGCGTGCCTGAGAACCTTCAGTGGAAATGGACAAACAGCAGGCTTCCAGACTCCACTGGCGCCCCAGGTGCGTTGACATCTCAACAAAGAGCAGCGTTAAAAACATGCAGGTTCAAGTGTACTGTCCATGGGGAGTGCAAATAGTTCCTGAGTGTTGACCGTTACATTTAAGGTGGAAGTTTAAGTCTACCGAGAAGCAACTCAGAAGCACTAGCTAACCATCTGCTTCCACCCAGAGGCCTGGTGGTGCAGTGGGTTATGCACTGGGTGCTAACCACAAGGTCAATAGTTTAAATCCCCCAGCTGTTGCATGGGAGAAAGATGAGGCTATCGACTCCTGTAAGCAGTTACAATCCTGGATGTGGACAGGGGCAGTTCGATCCGGTCCTGTAGGCTCTCCTTGAGTCGAAATCCACATAATGGAGGTGAGTTCGGTTTATCTACTTCCAAAATATCAGCCATTAAAAACCCTGTGGAGCGCAACTCTACTCTGACACACCGAGGTCTCCGGGAGTCAGAATCGGCTCAGGGGCACTTAAGAACCAGTAGGTTCAAGAGTATGTTCTGGAATCGGAGTTGTGCCCGTTTTCATTCCACTGAATTTACTCAACGAATAAAGTCTAAAGGACACACAACAGCAATGTCCATCAATATTCAACCCTTTTCATAATTTCCAAATGATTTGTAGGACTCTCTCAAACCAGACCCACTGCCACGGAGTCAGTGGTGACTCACGGCGACCCCACTGCGGGTTCCCGGGACTATGACTGTGTGTGAGGGTAGAAAGCCCAGTCTTTCTCCCAAGGAGCTGCTGGTGGTTTCAAACTGCCGACCACTCGGATCTCAGCCCAACTGGTAACCACTACACCACGAAGGCTCCTTCATAGGGCTCTGGCTCACTATAACCGCTGGTAAAGAGTAAAGCCACCATTTCCTGGTTTCTCCACAGACCACCTCTCTTGCCTGTATAAACAAGGTCCACTCATAACCATCCAAAAGAAATCTGGGTGAAGCTCAAAGTTCACATTTGCTTTAGTTTTTCACCTGAAGCAGGAAAGAAGAAATGCTAGTTGAGAAAGGAGGAGGTAGGGGTCACAGTTGACAAACTTCAAAGTTAATTCTTGTTCCTGGTGAGGAAGGCACTGGGCCTTGAGCCAAAACTAAGGCAGCCTGATGGGTAGGAAGCTTTTAAGTGCAGGGCAGAAGTAATTGTTCCTATCTCATGGAGCAAAAATTCACGTCCATTTAATGCCAAACTCCAGATTTTTCTGTTTGCAAGGCAAAAGGGCATGCATGCTTCTGCACATGTACTTAAGTCCTAGTAATAATTACCAAGGCTTGCATGAACTTGGCACAACTTTAGTGTCTACTCACTCCTCAATCTTTTCCAAAACACAAAAAGCAAGTGCAAAGTCTGATCCCTGCCATACTCCAAGAACTCCTAGCAATCCAACAGACTTCTCTCGTGCATGGTGAAAGTAGTCTCCTGGTGTGAGGACCCAAGTTAGCGTCTGTGAATCGAGTCATCCGATCTTTGTCCCAAAGGAGAGAAAGGCAGGCAGACCCATTTCTCTCTCACTGCCAGATGAGGCTTGCTTCTAAACGCAGAGAGGTTTTGTTGTGTGCTTGTTTTATTGTGTTGTGTTTTGTCTTGTCCTGTCTTGTTCGGAGAGAGATTTTTCCTGAAATTCAAAAATGTTTTCTGCAGTCATTCCCACAAAAGCACATAATTAGGATAGGAGTTGTTATGTCAACCCACTAACGCTTCAAGTGGGAAATGCTATTTCACAATCAGACATCTTTTTCAAGGGCTTATATCTCTCCTCCTTTCATGTCAACTCAACTTGGCTCAAATCTTGTTGTTATGGCAAATGATCACCTAGGAAGAGATTGATTTTGCTGAACTATGCTCAGTGGAGGAACCCTAGTAGTGTGGTGGGCTATAAGTTGGGCTGCAGTCCTCAAGGGCAGCAGTTCGAAACCACCAGCTATTCCTCGGGACAAAGATGAGGCATTCTATACCTATAAAGAGTTATAGTCTCAGAAACCCACAGGAGCAGTTCTTCCCTGTCTTTCAGGGTCACTAGGAGTTAGAATGGACTCGGTGGCAGTTTGGGTGAATTTGCTTTGGCTTCTGCTCAATCATCTCTTAAAATACTTCACTAGCTTGCACACAGGGACCCTGCAGTGAGCATCTTCTGTTCTCTACCACCGATAACCACCTCCCCACTTCCTTCTGTAGCAGCACTCCAATTTTCTCCCATGGAACTACCTCGCTGCCCCTGCTGCATGGAACCCTGTGTGAACTGCCAATCGGCCATCCTTTCCTGGCTGCATCAAAAACCAAACCCACTGCCATCAAGAGGACGCTAACTCATAGCCCTCCTGCAGCATTGCCAAGGCTGTGGTTTTTCTGGAAGCAGACAGGCACACCTTTCTCCCAGAGAGCAGCTGGTCGTTTTGAGCCGGCAGCTCTTCAGTTAGCAGCATAACACTTTAACCATGACACCATCTGGGCGCTTTCTTGGTTACCCATGCTCCACCCAACCCCCCACCAAAAAAAGAAAAAAGAAGAAGCCCAGTGTGCTCAGGTTGTTTCTGACTCATAGGCACCACACAGGATAGAACAGAACTGCTTCCCAGGACTTCTGAAACTAATGTACAGAAGGCGACAGCCTCGTGTTTCTCCCAAAAAGCAGCTGTTGGGTTTCAACCATCAACCTTCTGATTAGTAGCTCAACCTCTAATCAAGGCCCCCCAAACACCCAAATTCACAGTGACCCCACAGGACCCTATGGGACAGGGTAGAACTGCCCCCTGTGAGTCTCCCAAGACTGTAACTCTTTATGGAAGTAGACAGCCTCATCTTTCTCCTGCAGGGCAGCAGGTGGCTTTGAACTGCTGACATTGAGGATCATAGCCCAACAAATAGCCGCTACACCACCAGGGCTCCTCTTTACTGACTAATGGACAGGCAAATGATCCCAATTGCCCTGAGCAGAGTCTGTCTAGAATCTGACCCAT